GTCCGCGGCGCGCGTGTTCGCACCAATAGCATTTCGACCGTTTAAATGGGTGTCAATTACTGCATTAACGAGATTCATTAGGTGTTGCCTTTTTTTTACTTTCTGAGAGTTTTGAATCTTATCGAATTTAAACCAACCTAGTCGAAAGCAGATCCGCACGCGTCTTTTGTTACTGTGTGGGCTCAAAAGGACCAGACTACGATGTCCATCTTAAGATTTATCACACTGGCATCTTCATTCAAGGTGTTCACTTACAAATAAATAATGTTTATGCTCAAATTTCCAGTCGTTTTGCACACTGTTAAATCAGTTTTGTAGCGGTGACCAAACCAAGCCACCTAGTATAATTGTGACTAAGTCTTCATCCAAATAATAACTAATTCCTGCGTCACTGGTTGACGTTTGAATCGATTGCATCCATAGTGATTTAAATGATCGTAAAACATGCGTCTGCAAAACGGGCGGCGACAGTGCTGCTTGCACCACAAAATTCCTCCCTAAAGGGATTGGCTCAACTGCATCGGGAATTATTTGGTGGCAGTTCTACCGCCTCTGATTTGTCGCATTCTTTAAACAGGATTGTTGCAATAATGGCCGCACAAAATCGTCCATAAGTCAGGCGACACAACTGTATGTCTTGGCCACTTTTACCCTTTACCTGCGGCAGTAACACGCACTCGATTCCGTTGTGTAAGAGTATATAACTGTTAGTGTTCAACTTAGACTTGATGTTTATGTAGACTTGTGTTACCTCCGAGGTACTCTCTAAAGTGTGATTGTGCAGAAAATACAACAGTCACAAATCGCGATATTGCGAAGTCACTTTTGTTGGGGAATGATGGCTTCCCCAACAGCCACCCACATCAAGCACGGTGCACAAACATGGCCACTTTTGAAGCACAACGTCGGTACACGTTATTAAAAAAAATAAACAGTTGTGTTGTTACCGGAGCGGTTAACAAAAACAAAAACAGGGGGATTAATCGTGCACATGGCAACATGTTGTTTTCTTTTCATGGAAGTCGGTGGAGGGTTGAAGTCGCGGTGACTTTCTGTTGGTGGTTGGTTGGTTAGTTCAAATGAGTCGATTAGTTTAAGGTGATGCGATCGGCGTGTGGTCTTCATCCATGTCGACGAACCTAGTTGATTTTGGCCCGATCACCCCACTTAGATACTCGAGAAGGCAAGTAGAAGGCAAGAGATGGCAGTCACTACCGTGTGAGTGCGTAGGCTCGCAGGCGTGCATGTCCAATGTAATTATCGATCAATAATTTAGGTGAACTGGATAACGTGCAAGTAATTGAATGGTGAGAATAGTTCAATTGATAGGGGGACAGTATGTTGCAGACTGCGGCAACCTGAATAATGGACGAAAATCAATACGAGTCACTACAACCGTGTTCGGCTCACCCACACACAAGCCTCACTCGAGTACACACCGTACCAGACTGTCCCCGGGAGGCGAATTAAGGTTAAGTTGAGAAACCCATGTAGTTCGTATTCTAGCCCTGAGTACGTCCGTAGATGTGGTGTGCGATCTTGGTCTCCTCGTGGTAAGGTTTGTGCCAAGGTCGTGTCGTACCCACCACAGTCCACTTATCCAATGGGGCGTTGAAGAGGAGCAAACAAGTCACCTTTTTTAATCATTCGTATTTTGAGGCGACAAAGCACTCGTGTTAATTTGATGCCATAAAGTCGTCGTCTGTTATTGGTCGACTTCACTTGGTTGCCAGGCCGAATGTGTCAACCCTGAGGGGGGCTAAGGGAGAGGGGCTGGAACTCACTCGGCCTTATCGACTGTGGTGACACAGTCGTGTCGACTAGGCGTGTTTGTCTTTACGTGGTTAAAAAAGAAAACTAACAAAGTGTGTGTGTGTTAGCTTATGGTTGTTAGCATGGCGACTTTTAAGTGAGTAATCGAGATTGCGATCAGATACCGATCTCGAGAGTTTTGCGAGGGCGGTATTATTTCGTCACACCAAATAATGTTTCCCGTTGATATTATTGGTGTGTCATCTTTTCACAAGTAGACGTGACCAGAAGTTTTGACTATTAAAGGCTATCCGTGTAATATGGCTTGACATATGTCAAAACACCATTCTAGAGGCGGTTTGTGAATCAACAGACTCATAATCGATAAAGAATACCAGTGGACTCGAATAGGAGCTGGGGTGGACAATCGTATTCGATCAGGGGACGTTGTTATCCGAGAAGTTTCTCTTAACAATGAGGTACTTATCAAATGCACGTCAAGTACAAGCGAACACGATGCAATCGATTTACGTGAATACACTTCATGTAGCTATGTTCGTTCACAGATCGATATTAATCAATTCTACGTAAACTGACGATTTGCTACCTTACTCAGCCACGCGCTATCTACACCTCTGCTCTTTCTAACTACACCTGGGCCGAAACAAGACAATCATATCTGTGGCAGGTCAGCTAAACCAACTGGTGACTATTGCCCTCTAGAAAACTTACCCAATCCCCAGTTAACAGTTTCAAAAGTGAGGTTTGTTTGTCATGACAATGTAAAAATAAAGATGGTATCCAGTAATGGCTCACAAAGCCCAATTGTCGGGACGTGATTGCAAAGGACAAGATGACTATTGTCATCTTTTAAGCAGCAAGATGTCCTGGCTGGGTGTTTATCTGAGCCCGTCATAATTGATGAAAGCATACAGCCGTCGTGGTGCTCTAATTGCGTAGCAACAACCCGTAATCAGCAACTTTCTTGTGATTCCACTGTAGGCATCTAAGCATAGGCTCCCTCTGCACACAGCTGATTCCGTGTTGTGATTTGGTTGGGGTGTTTTCACTTCACTTTTTCACTTAGCGCTGTCTGTAGCAATTACAGACTACGCAATTTCGTCAGCATCGAGGTTGGTGAAACCGAAGAACCCTCTTTCACCTAGGTTTGAACTGTTTTATCTACAAAGGCGTCTCCCAAGTCCATGCCAGCAACGCTCTGGTGTTGTGAGCTGGTTCGAAAACCCTACCATATGCCATTTCTTGCTTAAACTTTTACCATGATCTTACCATTGAAATGAAGACGCAGGCTGACGACATTTTAGGCATCTAAAACCACTGGTCGGTGGGCGGTGTGTTGCGGTAATGTAGAATAAGGAAACTTGTCGGCAAAAGTGAATGGGCAACGCGGAAATAGGCTGCAAACTGTGCGATATTCAAATGACGTCCGCACGACAATGTGTGGCGTAGTTGGGTAACACACGTGTTGCCAAACACGAAATTGGTTTTGCAGTCTTCGATAATGGATCGGCTTCGCGAGTGTGCACCAAAACAGACGAGCGACCGCATCTAAGCCAGCTAGCACGCATCGGTGATTGGACGGGACGGTTTCTGTCACTTAGGTGAAGTGGAAGAGCACTCGCGGAAGCCTCAGTGTGGTTCTCCAACTGCACAGGGGCAGTCGGCCCAAGAAGACCGTAGATAACACGGGGCTCAATCGATTTATTGGTAGTTAGATCGTGGTCATTTAGCGTAGATAAGACGTCGTGACATTCGATCGATAAACGAACACCGCTGCGTGAAGTGAATTCAAGAAAATCGATTAAATCCAAGTTCGCTAATGCTTGGTAGGAATGTTCGCATGTTGACCCCCTCAGGGGACATCCGATCGCCTGTTCATTTGCAGTCGGTGGGCAGGCGTCGATTCGCGGCTCGTTGTTAGACCTGAAATCACCTGAATCACGATGTGGAGCACGAGGTATAGGCATGGCACAGTGGAATCAATGTTGCATTTAATCGGGCGTGCATCTGCATCGGCTTGATTGTGAATGGAACCTGGTTTTTGTGCTTATCTATTCCCCTACAAGCAACCTCTTACCCTTTCTACCCTAGTAACTAGCATTTAGTGTTATCAGAATTGAGGAGTTCAAACTACTACCCGCCAGGTCATTAAAACTTTAATCATGCTTTTTACAAATTACTGACACAGACACCCCCACCCCGACATGAGTGCACAGGTGGTTTGGCTCAAACGGGAACCGGCTTGTCACTTGGTTTGCGGTCGAGATTCACGCTGTTCCGCGAATCGGCGAGCGAAAGTTGACGCGCCTCGTGGGAAGGTGAATTAATGAGCGCTTTTAATTCGAAACCCGTGGGAAGGGTGGTCAACCCCTAAGTTCGAGCTGACTGCCATCTCTTCCTGAGTGAATGTAGACGCCAACTCCACAGAAGGAAGATGTGGGAGTTTGTGCGGGAATGAGGTCGCCTCACATTACCACACATCTGACAGTTCTAGTAGCCGAGTTGTGAGGAAACGTTGGTAGACTGTGCAAGATATATTGAGCAGAAGAAGTGGTTCCTTGAACTGGGAATATATCAAGAGAATGCAATCGATACGGGCAGTTAGAGAGTCAGTGGTTGCAAATATTAGTGGCGTTCACTGTTTCGAAGTCAATTTATGCAAAACCGCTCAAACCAGGTATCGATCGCGCCGATAAATTCGACTTGGTGGTTACCTGACCAGGCCAGAATTATCACCATCTTTTTAGGCCACAAAATACAAGATTCGAGTCGATGGGACATCGACGTAGCTGATCCACTGAGACTAGCCTGATTAAACAGTTTTAAACTGGTTGGTAGGCAGAATTAAAAAACGCGCACCTACCTATACTAGATTCAAACAAACAAACCTGTTGCGGCCTTCAAAATTTACTAATTATTGCTCTTCAGCGTTCATACTAAGAATTAAGCTGCTTGCTAACTCATACGAGAGTCGTCCACTCGTATGAGTGGAATTTACGGCCGGTTTAATTCTGCCACCCTATATAAACATCTGGCGTTTAATTTCAAGTTGTCTCGCCACCGTTTTATCTGTTCAAGTGACGAATGGCAGGAAAGCAGCTTCCTTTTTCCTGTTTACACATCCTGTTGAATTAAAAACCCAGAACACTGGCAACAGAAAGTGGGAGATTCGAGGTTAAATCAGCCTACATTTGCCTAAACAAAGTGCATTCATCCATTTGGAATAGCTCAAAGCTCACGACGAGGACAGGACAGCGAAATTGGAGTACTTCCTGGTGGAATCGGAGTCCTCGACGACGTCCGCGACGACGTCGACCTTCGAGGTGGAGAAGAGCGGGCGTGTGGTGCTGCGCCGGAACCTCGACTTCGAGTCCCGCCAGACATACCGACTGCCGGTGCGCGTCACCGACGGCGACTTCAGTGCCGACTCCACGCTCAACGTGGTCGTCGCCGACGTCAACGACGAGGCTCCTCGCTTCGAGCTCAACCCCATCCATCTCGTGGTTGAGGAGGGGGCCTCTGCCAAGCGCTCCATCGGCCAGGTAGCCTTTTCGCTCTCATGTTAAAAAAATCAATAGAACTAACTTGGCGGGGGACAATCAAAGGACCGCGATAGCCTAAACGCACAGTAGATAACTGAGTAAACCCTAGCAAACTGAGAGCACTCCACAAACCCGAACTACCACTGCTAGCCGACTTGGAGGGCGATTTCGGCTTTAAGAACAAAAGTACTCAACCAACATGAAGGCGGCAGACCTTGAAACGGTTTGTTTGGACTGAAGTTATGTTTTGTTTTGTTCAATTAGCTTCGCGTGTACGACCCGGACAGCGTGATGGTGAACGGGGTGGTGCGTTGCAAGGAGCCGGAGGAGTGGGCACACCGCCAGGCCCTCACCTTCTCGCCCGACCCCCAGACCCACCCCACGGTCGGCCTCTACGACCTCCAGACGCGGGTGGAACTCGACCGCGAGGGGTCGGACACGGTAGAGGGGGGCTACGCGCTGGTGCGCCTCGTCTGCTGGGACGGCAACGAGCTCCAGACTGGGGGTCCCCGACTCACCGCCACCATGACCACCACCCTCACCATCAAGGACATCAACGACAACCGCCCCACCTTCTCGGAGCCCATCTACCACGTAAACATCGCCGAGAACAACCACCTCGGCGCGAAGATCATTCAGGTATGCGCTCTTGTCTTGCCTCTAAGTGGAAGCTGTCGGTCAGCTAAAATTGCTACACTGGCTGCCGCCTATTCATGCATTGTTTAAAATCTCCCCCCGTTGTTAGTCGCCGGTGGTTGATGACAAATGTACCTGAATGAAGAGATGAGTCTTTCCAAGGCAGACTCTAAAAAAGCAGTCAACGCCCCATTGACCAATCACGTAGCAGGAGGATTGTAATGCGGAGCGCCTGTTGTCGACGTGTCCACAAGACAGTAAACCATACATGTAAATGCCGTCAGTGGGCAGTAGGGGGAACCATTCAATTAAGTGTAACTTGTTAACTCAGCCCAGTGTAGTGTGAATGAAGAGATGCTTAATGGGATACGTGGGGGTGAGGTTGACAGCTGATGATGATGATAATGGTGATGACGACGAAGTCGAGTAACGAAGTGCAGGCGCCCAAAGCGGTCTCTGCAGCCAGAGTTTGTTTAAACGCACTGAAGCTCACAGTTAGCTGAAGAAGTTGTGCTACCTCTTTGCATGATAAATTATGCGGCAGCGTCGGCACAATGATACAACTACCGACCTTTTCATCTGCTTTGTAATGGCCAGGGGAACACAATGAGGGACGAAAATGCCTCCCCACGCGTATCGTGGGGCTAAAAATGGCGAACTAGGATGCTCTCAAAACGCATAAAGTGGTGTACAGCAAGACGATGATAAATATTTTGGTCCGGACGCAGTGCTAAGCAAACTAGAGGCTAGAGGCAACATAGTTGAGCGAATATGCCGCAAAAGCTCAGTCTTGTGGCCGAATTGACGACTTCCGAAAAGTGATAACTGGTTTTCTCTTGTAGGTTGAGGCCTACGACCCAGACGATGGGGAGAACGCCGAGGTGACTTATTCCCTCCTCGATCACGCCAACTTTCACGTGGATCCCGTGTCTGGCTGGGTCACCGCGGCGACTGAATTCGACAGGGAAAAACGCGACTCCTATCAGGTTAGGCTTCGTAAAACAGTAATGCAACAATACCTACTATTGCACCAACAGTAGTTAGTATTTTTTGAACACAGGTTACAATCATCGCGTCTGATAGCGGTTTCCAGCGGCTGACAAGTTCGGCGCTGCTGAACGTGACGATCCTGGACCAGAACGACAACGCACCGGTTTTACTGCCATGCGACAAGGTGTCGAATCCTCTTGTCATTTGGGAAAATTCACCGGTAGGCAGCCTGGTGGGGCACCTCGTTGCCACCGATGCCGACACTGGCAGGAACGGCGAAGTGGTCTTCAAACTGCCGCAAAAATCGTCGTCATCTTCACCGTTCGAACTGCAGCCAAATGGATCGCTTTTCACGGCACTACCGCTGGACAGGGAGCAAACGGTAGGCGGTCGTTTTGTGTGCAATTCAGAAATGGTCCAGGCGGGTTTGGTGGGGTGGGGAGGACACGGTACCCAGAATGTAAATCCCGGTGTAGAAGACGTTGACTGCAATGGCATCCTCTACTCCGGTGGATACAGCAGGGAACCAATTAATCGATAGTGGACGCACGACTTCAGCATCAGACTCAGACTAGTGCGTCTGAAGAACCAGACATTCTTGCTAGATAAAGCCTTGTTTTTTGTGATTATAAATGCATCGTATTTTATTGTACTACTGATGTACCTAAACCAGAGACTGCGCTCCATGCTCCTGCTCACGACTTCGACTGGTTCAGATTTTAAGACTGGTGTTTACATAAGGCTACATACTGCAGCAACAACTGAGGCTGCATTTATCAGGGGTGACCATGGAAACCGCGTGAAGCACCGCGTGATTTGATTGGTAAAAGCAAAAAGGGATGTTATGTGGTCTTATGGTGTTGTAGACGACGGCTAAGCATGATTTAGCCAGGGTAACGCTAACTTGAGTGCCCGTGAAGATGAGGAAGACGGGAGAGGGCTGAGACTACCAAGTTATCTTAGTCGCGCGACTGCGCATGAAAACGTGTCTGGAGGAGACGGGCAGAGTGTGGTGTTGGAGCAGACGGTTTAGCAAGAGCGAGAGGTACGGCGAGGAAATTAGGTCAAAATGACGAAGAAGGCGACAAGTGCGTTTTTGGACGGGAAATGATACCATTCGCTATTACAATTACACGTGTAACATGTCCATTTTGCAGGCCAACTACGAGATTCTGGTTGAGGTGAGGGACCGTGGAGGCCCGAATGCCCTTTCCACCTCGGAGACCGTCTGCATCAGGGTGTTGGACGAGAACGACAACGATCCGCACTTCGTGCTGCCCGACCGCCTCTACTCCCACGGTGAGTTATGCGCGTTGCAAACACGGCGACCCACTGCTAAGCCCTAGAACCAGGGACAGCCTCTAGCAAAATCAGCATCCACGAATAAGAATAATTCTTGCTTCAAACAGTTGGCCAATGCTAAAATTTAAACCATCGATGGCAGTGTTCGGTAAGGTAGGGGACATTGCCAGTAAGAGTAAGTAGTGACTGTCCCAACGGGGCACATGGAGGGAAAACTGCCAGCTCCTACCTGAGTGGGTGATGGAAGGAAACTTCAAAATGGCTGTGAAAGCTGAAACGATCCATACAAGCCCTGTAGCGGCTAGATACCCAGCACTACCTTACAACCCTCTAGTTAACAGCCCGTTACAACCCGAGGATAGGGGAAAAGGAGGCGACAGAGAACACGACCGTTCACTGATGTCAAACCAGCCAAGTGGCTTCGTGTGCGTATGAGTACACGTGCGGAACGGGCGAATGCTGACAGAAACCAATAACAAAAGGGATGAGTCACTGGTCCACTCGGGCCCTCATGCACGCAGCACTTACGCGAGGTGGCTGTCAGTCCACTACAGCCTCACGACAGTCTGAAAGCGAACAAACGAGCGATTAGAAAATGATGAATATGCGGTCTTTTTGCCTACCAAGATGACTGGTTGGCGGATTCGTCGCCAGCGTACCTCTGGAAGCGGGAGTCGGTTGATGTGGGTGCGCACGGAACCAAGCTGGCCAAGACGACGGATCCGGTGGGAGCGGAGGCGTTGGAGCCCTCGCTGAGCGTGTCCATCCACGAGACGAACGGCCAGCTCATCACGAGGCTGGAGGCCACCGACCCAGACGAGGGTCCGAACGGCCAAGTGGTGTACGCGCTGCAGCGACACGCGCAGTCGCGCGCCAGGGTGAATCGCGCCGCCGGCGACTTCCTCACCGTCGACACGGCCACCGGCGAGGTCTGGCTGCGGCGGTCCCTTCAGGAGGAGGACCTCGGCCCCCACGTCTTCGTGGTCTCCGCCAAAGACCAGGGCACCCCGATGTCGCGCTTCGAAAACAAGGTTATCCCTTTCCTAAGGCATAACGTGGTTTACGCAATTCATCGAAATTGCATCCAGTTGGATTGTTTTTACCTCGTCACATTTGCCAACTCTACCCAGAGCTGAAATCGCCTAAATCAACCAAATCTAGCTTTTATACACTATGATCTAAAATCTACCTCCCCGCTTGACAGATTTTATCCCCTTGCGTAACCTGATATACAGACTGACAATGCGAGCACTTATGACAGCCCATTTTCAACTACATGTTCCCGTGTTTAGTTACTAGCTACTACTTTTCAGTAACATATCTACTACAGCTAGAGAATTTTGAAATTCGACTGAGTGAAATGAGTAAAAATTTTATTGGGTTTCGAGTTATCGTATCCAAGTTTGCACCCAGCTAATGTTTTCTGTGCTTACATACTAATTGCTTAGTGAATGAATATATCCTACACGTTTTTCTATTGACTCAAGTATTAACGACTGAATACCCAGAAATTCGGTCGTGTGTAGTGGACAAATTTTTTTAAAAACCGGCCATTTAACCAGAATGAAATTGTGAAGTTGCTAGATACGGCTTTGAACACGAATCAGTAAATGCGGTTTGAGTTATCGCGGTGGACTAGCTCGGGGTTGAATTATATTATCGTGAGGGGAACAGTGTTTGTAGCAGAAGTGTCACTTGAATGCACACCACCATGTCGCAAAGACAGTCTGCTGTGTTTAGCTGCTGCTGGTGCTGGTGGAGGACATTCCGCCGCGGGCGCTGGACCGAGGCGCGAGTTCGAGCTTCGTCGCCTCGTCCGGAGACGGGGGCGCACTCGCGTCCCTCTTCCCCTTCAAGCTGGGCGAGCGCAAAAACGTTCTCCTCCTCGTCGGCCTCATCTCCGTCTCCGTCGTCCTCGCCACCGTCCTCATCGCCGCCATGATCTGCATGCTCCGGCCTTGCAGGTAGCACCCTCCACCGCATACCTACCCCCCCTGTCACCAATGTGGGCCAGAGCCATGCGGTTTTTCATTCAAATTAGCAAATTCAAGCACTTCGACTCGAGGTGATTGGCTGGCCGAATCAACAAACACAACGAGTTCTTTTTTTCGGCTGTGGTGGTTGATTAAAACAGATCTTGAGGCTGGAAAGACCTCATTTGGTGAATAAATCCGTTAGCACAGCCTCAACGATCTGTCTTGCCAACACCAATGGAGTGAAATCAATCACATTAAAACACACAAGGACGTTCCAGATGGGATAATCTTTTAGTGTTTAAGCCAAGTTTTTCTCTAAACTCCAATTGGATCTTTTTAGTTAAACTTCAGGTGTTTTAGCAGGCCATATCAACACCTTCGGTTAATGATCTCTGGTAATTAAGACGGGAGGTTCTTATGCCACATGAAACCAAAATATGTAAAATTTCGGTCAAGTGGATGCGTTTTCTCCTCCACAGTCGTCATCCTTCTTGTAATCTTAAAATCCACAAACACAGGTGTTAGAAAGGGTTTTCCAAGGGTAGTCAAGAGGACTCTGTCTGTTTTTATTAAGGGACTGGCCGTGTTCACACTAATCCGTGTCTTTGTAGATCTCTATCCCGACAACCGAGGCGGTTCTTCAGCCAACATCGGATGTCGCCTTCAGGCGCGGCCAACTGTTCAAACCTGCAGGTCCATTCGTCAACCAACGGCGTCATTTCACCCCAAGAAACCCGACTCATTGACAACGCGTCGGCGGATAACTTTGTCGGTCACGACTACGGCTACGGGACAACGAATGCGCAAGCTGACATCATCGACAGCGATGGCTGGCTGGGCGATGGGAAGGGCACATTTCGCGTGGTCAATGCCGACACCACCAGTGCAATGAGTGAGGAGGTAAAGTGGCTGAACCGTCTCGAGATACCCTTCAACCGAGTTCTTGGTGTTTAACGATCTACCTACAAATTTTGTACTGGGTGTGCGATGTGAGGGAAAACGCGTACTTGGTGGAAATTAGCGAGGGTTTCCTGAACTAGAAAAGTAAACTCCACACGAAGTGTAAAAATGCTGTTGGTTTGTTTTGAAAACATGGTAGTAAAGAGGTACCACTGAAACTACACGCACTTTTGTTCATTCTCCATCAGCCTTCCAAAGAGAATTCCACACCTCTCCCAGGCTCATGCGAAGCAGCTAGTTCATTCATGCATTCTTGTTGTTTAGCTAAATATGGACTGCACATGTTGGCGACGTAATCAAATGGGTCTCGGTTTCAGTAAAACTGCAGATTGCATTCGCGAAATCCAGTTCGTCTATTTAATCCACATTGTCTTCATTTAAACTACGTTTAGTCATATAAGAAAACGCATTTTTATTAAATCAAAATTGTCCAAGTTGTGGTAACTGGACTTCGGACAGCGTCTATAGTTGTTTGGGAAAAAGCAGGAAACTTTTCTTAAAAAAAACTAGCTTTTATTGCTTTCATGGGGGAAAAACGTTTCGCAGAAGTATTTGCACCATTTTAGGCTGGCAGTAGGAGGCCACAGTTGTGGACAAAGTACAATTCCCTTCCACGTGATCGGTGCGGCAGCCCTTTCGGCCTCGCCCAAGACAACGCCTGCTCCACGGCCGCTGGACTGCTGATGACGCCGCTGAACGAAATGGACGAGATGTCGCACGACGCCAGCCATCTGAGGCCGGCGGAGCGCTGGACCGCGGTTACACTTGCCGCCGATACGGTAATCACCCTTCCCCTTAGTGCCAAACACCCTACTTAGCCCACACGTCAGGAGGAGTTTCGAATCAGGGGAAACATAGTGGACGGTTGAAATGATGGAAAGCTTGGATAGCAAGTTCTATAGAACCACAGTTTTCTCTTTCCTTAAGAACTTCCAGTCCAGTGAGGCATCGCACATCGCCGTGCCGGTGACACTGCTTCCCGCAGTCTGTTTTTCACCGAATTTGGCCCAGTCAGTGGTCACTGCCAGCAACCCCTTCACCATGACCACCTTCCAACCATCGGGCAGCAAGTCCCACGACATGGAGGTGCTGCTGGCAAGAGAACGCGAGCATGCTTCAGATTCTGGCCAGGGTGGCAGCGACGAAGACATCCACGGAAATCCTCCACCACCGGTTATCAACCTCGTGAAAAGTGGGTTCACTGTTTTGGAGGCTTTAAAACGAGCCGGCGGCACAAATGTGATTTAAATGCGAATGTAACACTTTGGCTTACTTATCCATTAGATCGAAGCTCAGAACCTGCCTGGCATTATGCTAATCTTCAGAAGCAGTTCGCACCAATTCGTACCAATAAACTGTTTCGTTTTAATCAGCCGATGTCCGACCTTGAGTGCTTAAAATAAACGCTTCACGAACTCATCCCAAGAAACAACTGTGATGTTTTCGGCAAATCGGAATGATAGGGAGACATGGTAACTATAGATTTCAAATAAAAGTTGTTTTATATTGAGCTTTTAGAAAGGAAGACAAGCCGATACCTTTTGATGTATTCACACAAGTAAATCCGAGATTGGATGGTGCAACAGTCTTATTGGCAATCATTCATCCTCTAGAGATCGGGTCGAGTTCTCTAGAAGGCAAATTTTGCTCATAAGAGACTGGAAAACGTCGTTGAAGATGGTCTGGTAGCTGTGGAAGATTAGCTCTGGGAGGCCAGCAGCTTGCCTTCCATGAAAACAAAGGCTTCTCCCCAGGAAGTACCAGTCCTTTTGTTATACCCAGAAAAGCCCAGTCCACGTCAACGCAGGTTTGGGAAGACGCGAATAGGTCACTTTCTCCTACCCCGAATGTATCAAATATGTGAAGAGGAAGACCAAACTGCCGACGACTGCTTTTATTCGATTCCTGATAGAACACATACACTATTTAAGGAATCAATACCCCCAGTAATCACCCAATAGATTCAGGTCATTTTTGAGAAGGGGATATGAGGTGCCACACCATAATTATAATGACGGATGGAACTTTGTGGGCGTGACTGTTGGTGTCATCACAGAGAAGTAGTACAACCTGGTGAAATGGGATTTCACTTGTGGGGACCTTTTGCATGCTACTCTGGTCAAGCTCATAAACATCTTTGAGACTTCTTGTGGGCAACTGATCTCTGGGATAGCTTCTCGTGCACGACACGTGGAGTGACAATAAAGGGATACCCAACTCCTTGCCTTGTTGTGAATCGTGTTTATTCACACCCCTTAATCCGGTCGCTCCACCTCCTACACAGGGTTCCCCTATTCCGCAGCATGTCGCCAACCGCGCGAATCCTCATTCACAAGGATATTTATCTTGGATTATCCTCACACCTAGGACTCGATGTTAGCTGATCTATGAATCACGAATCTGAGAAATAAATACACACACGAGAACCCCACACACGACACCAGTTTTGGTTGAGCTCTGAAGTAAAGGGTTGTGTCCACGTCCCCTATGGTCTTTTTCTTGATCGCGGGTATCAGGGAAACGTAATCTGGCCAGGGTTAATTCCGTGGCCCCGACGTGGTTCAAGACCGCATGCTGGGGTCCACAACACCCTAAACACCTGGTGATTCATCCAGATAGGTTTTCGTTATGCCGTGCAGTGGTGACACCCGCAAGATTCCCGGTGCCATCACAGTAAAGATTATTTTGCTTGCGCTTTGTTCAGATGTGACTGGAACCCTCGGTAATTTTAGTATTCTTGAATTGTTAGTGATCCAAATGCCATTGTCCAAATAGGTGCCAGCTTGAAAATCCAGTGGCCGCCATCCCCTCAGAATACCTGTGAAAGAAGCATCAACTACCGAGCATTCAGAGCAACTTATTAGTGGCTAGTATATCTATCAATAATCGATGCTCTTATTTAATAAAATCTTATTACCTTATTAAAATCACCACATTTACCAATGATTAAAGATATTGGCTGCTTAGCTAAGGGAGAAACTGAATCTCTACGAGACGTGATCTTAAAACACTCCACGGCAACCGACCACTCACATAGCCCACGTAACAGAATAGTTTAGATAGAGGCCCTAGTGAGAGGTAGAATAACTGGTCACCCTCTCTGCCTTGCAGTTCCCTACAAGTTGGCAGCGAACGGTGAAGAGGATCCATGGAAACGGGCAGGGGGGTGCACGAGGATGTCCACCGACGACCTCCTGCGTTTGACAACAAAACGGCACGTCAGCTCGCCAAAACCGGTTGGCGAGACACCACCGGGCGCTGCCACCGTCCCCGACTTGGTCAGCGTCGCACACCGACGGCTGCCTGATTGCTAGTGAACTTTTGCTAACAACAAGCCACACCAATATTTTGTAAGTCACGGTCCCTCCCTTCACCAACCAGATGGCGCTCGGCGGGCATGACGCGAGCTGTGCAAGTGCGTGCCCCCTACTCCCTTCCCCCCTGTGCTCGTTCTTGTTTTGCTTGGCACTCGTGCTCCTTGTTCTCTCAGTCCGCGATAATTGCTGTACTCTGGGTGTATTTCTACCTATTTATCGATGTCTTCGCGAAAGAAATTGATCGAGCTTCTGGAAAATCAGTCCTGGGTGACGCATACGGAGGAGTAATTTTTGTGTCGATTGTATGTTGAATTTTTAATATACGAAAATATATTTGATTAAAATTCGAATTATATTCCACGAAAATCCCTCTACCAATTAATCGCCCCCTGCTGACAGCCATTAGACAAAGTATGAACGGGGTGAACTAAAGGAGTCCTCACAGCTGATGACATGAGTTATATCCTATGAGAGGCACTCAGAAAGATAGCCGGATATTAAGCCAAAACAACGTTGTACTCTCAAAACTCCGATAGTTACTGTCTTTTCATGGGTGTCCGTTTAAATGAAGACCAATTAGAGAGCAGAGCCTGCGGCATGTTACTGGTGTCAAAAATGAGTCACCAAGTACGCGACGTTGACTAGGTTGCCTACAATGACGGCACTACTCTTCACTAAGGTAGCTGCCTTAAGTCGCCAAAAGAATGCAAAACAGCATATACACACACACACACACGTCTAGCTCCATTTTTTAGATATCCAATCAAATCACAAATAGAGGCTACTCCGAGTCGGTGACGGCAGAAGGCTCGCTTCTGTACTGATGGATGGCCTCGGCAAGCATGAGCTTCCCGACCGTCTGTCCGGCTAATTGGGCGATGCCAGAAGAGTAGAGGTCAGCTTGACACGAGGCCAGGGCTGTCTCCAGGCGTATGGGGGCAAGCTCCTTCACCTTTTGCTCCTACACCACACAGGAAGATGAGAAAACACCAAGGCATTAAAACCGAGGCGCTAAATTTCCAACGCCCTAATATTAGCAATAGTGTGCAGTGAAATGTAAGAGGTAAATATTGGCCAAGTTGCGGGAAAGCAAGAATAATAAGCAAAGATCATGAGACCACGAAGCCCAGCACTTTACAAAACAAGGGATTCCAATAAAAGAAAGAAAAAAAATTAAAATCGTAGCTTAAATAACAGAAAGCGGTGAGGAGCAAAACACCTAAATGCTAATATTTCAGCAGCACCGAGTAAACAGGAGCAAATGTCTGAACATTGACGAACACATAAGTGCCCAAGTGGCAGGAAATTCCAAAGATCCTCAGTTGCCGCATTTGCAGCATAAAAAATTATTTGGCGGAACACATATGATAGAAATAACTTGCCTTGGTAAGGGATTGTGTCGCAAGTTTGCTGATGGTTCGCTGGTAAGTGAACTGTAACTCATAAATAGTATCCAAGCGTTGAATAAGGGACCTCAACTGTTGCTCTAAGTCACTGGCCATGCTGAGGTGGAGACCTGAGAAGCTATTGAGGGCCTTAACTTGCGTAGCATCGCCAACTTGTTCATCTGATTGGTCAACGATGTCTTTAAGAAGAATGCGTGCGAGTTTCGAATTTACTACGCTGGTTGGAAGCTCCTCAAGCAAGCGAGTGAAAGTAGTTTTACCGCCATGAAGAGAAGGGTCCTACGGACACAAGAAAACCATATTAAAGGATCACACACGGGAAAAAGTCAAAGGGTGGAAAGTAAGATTAGCTGAATGAGGGAGACAGAAAGCAAACTCATTTGAGAACCACACGTACAACGGTCCTCCACATTAATTGTCCAAGTCGATAATCAAAAAAAGTAATTTAGTAGCGACCGACAACAAATCTCCAGAAAAGGTTTGCAGATAACTACTAGTGTACATGAATAAACGAGATCAAGACAGCTAGTTGTCCCTCTGAGCTAGATTAAAGGTGAAAAAACACCACGACAAAAGGCAGGAATGGCATTACAAACGACAAAACTTTAATGAGTAGCGATTTAAAGCAGTCACATTTTATCTAAAGCCAGGTTGTGCTTTACACTAACCATGTATATACTGCAATTAAAACGACCAAGATATCGAAGATCGACACTACCAACGATCCAAAATACTCAAAGAAAAGTACTGTTGCCGCATAAAAGCCCTTTAAAATTTTTTTTGAGAACTCACACATTCCCAAGAGATTTCAGCATTCTAAAAAATAAAAAAAAACACTTTTAAATCAGTAAACAGTGTTTAACGGAAACCACGATAATCGGGGCCTGATCATTGGTCCACGAAATTAAAATGAAATAATAAAAATTAACCAATAGAACCTACCTTAGAGTTGCCCATCAGACGTATTCTTTTTTCCGTCTCGAGCATTGCATCAGAAATAACTTTTGACAACCTATACGACTTTAGACCATGCTGGCCGCGAGTCGCACATGAGGGATCATAAGTTAGCAGAACTGCCTCTGAAATTTGAATCTGAAATTGGAAAAGCGTCTCAAGAAGAGAACGAGTCAACGGACAACCGTAGCCGCCAAGGTAGTAACCGACGCTGAGGTAGTCAGAATTCAACTACAAAATTAGAATCCGAAATTTAAAGCACATACATCACGTAAATTTTTCATCATCTCAAATTCATAGGCACTTAGGGCCTCGTTTCCACTCTGATCATCTTCGGAGACCTTCGGCAGCGGAAAGCAATTTGTTATTTCTAGCACATCACCGACAGCCAAACCAAGGAGCACACCATTTACATGCTCAGTGGCTAAAAGAGTTTCTTCCTCACAGTGATTAATTATTTTCAGAAGAACTAGGCCAGTAACTTTCACAGAGTTAACTTCTTGCGTGTCCATTGTGAACAGTAAGGCAGCCACCCTATGCACACGCCACAAAAGCCAATTAAAGTGCGAGAATCTTGACAGGAAAGTGATAGGGTAATTGGGTTGATAAATCATATATCAAAAAATGTTATTACAGTAATTAAAGGTCCGGATTATGTTAGTTTTAGTCATAAATATCAAGCAAACCCAGAAAAAAATTAATTTTTTTTATAAATTAAACTATTATTCAAAAGTAGCACCATGTGAGTTCATTTATTAAGGAGCTTTTTAATTTACAAAAAATAGGATTAAGGCATAAGTGGGAAAGGAAGATGTATAAGAAAGTGTTATCAGATCCGGAGTATAATACCCTCTTGAGTTCATAAATATGGCATGAGATATGACACATTTGTTGACCATCGAACCCGTCTTGAAATGAAACCACTCGAGATATAAAAGACTACTGATAGATTTACTAGAGGTATCTGGTGTTTTCTAAGGCTGTTAGTGATAATGGTCAGATCTCAAAAGACAAGATATGATTAAAGCATACTACGTACCGTAAAACACAGGTAAACCAATGTACTATAAATTAAAGATACCTTATCTTTGAATTAAATAATGTTTAAGTGAAAATCAGCAGGTATTGTAAAAGTTAGATAAATTATCGACGTTAAACTACACCCTGCTGCCGCTTTCCGAATATAAATGTGTGTGAAATAAATACCACTATTACCAAGTAGTTTATTTTTAAGACAAATTAATGGAATATTTCCTTTTGTGCCATCACTGACTGGTGGGCTAAAAGACACCGCCTCTACTCATGTAGCGTCTTATATTTTAATTTCTCGAAGTAATGCTAATAACCGATGGCTTGTAAGACTTCTTGATATTAAACTGTGAGGTAAATGTTCCGACAGCCTAAAATTAGCGAATGGTCCTCAGTGTGTCTGTCATTGTACCTCCATTTTAGTTATAACAATCAAAATTCTGCTATTACTCAAGCGCCAACTACGCAATTAATTTAGATCCAACGGTGTGCGCTAGGGCTTCCTACATAAATTTCAGGTGTACAAAGTTCTATGAGAACAACTATCAAATTTATCCATTTCAAGATTGTGAGGCCCAGCAAGCAAATTTTCTTATATTAACTTTTCCTTTGGCACAGTGGTCCAAATGTAAAAAGGCATTTAGGCATAATGATAGTGTGTCTCTGTTTGGCATGGCACTATGTACTTTTGGGATTAATAATAAAACAATTTTCTTTCTCAGTTAAAATCGATCTAAGAGGTATAGATCCCGGAGATCCTGGAAAGCCAAATTGATTTTAGCCGAAATTAATTTCTTACCCAAGAACGATTAAAGTGCTGCATAATGTTATCCACTTATTCGAATCTTTTTTAGTGCAGTCGAAAGCTGTTACATGGATGAGAAAACTGTTCTTCTGATATTAGCACGAAATTTAGAGAAAATTCGCCTTCTGGTGAATCTGATTATGTATACAATTTGTTATTGTTTTCCGTTGCATTATACTGGCCCTTGTAGGCACCCATTTTAGACCCGCATATTTTTCACCGGGTTATAAAAAAGACGAAATCGGAGTCATAGCCTGTTACTTCGTTGTTTCCAAACATTTATCAGATGAGAGTTAATTTGCCTTTCTTTTCTTCCCGTCAAAGATCAAGCAGACCAAATCCTTTTCTATTTGTAAGAGTTATTTTGTCGGACTTTTAAACCTCGGCTTGTGGTCTAAGCACTAAATTACAACCCTCTAGTTAACAGCCCGTAACAACCCGAGAATGGAGAGAAGAGAGGCGACAGAGGACACGACAGTTTATTAGCGTCACGCCAGCCAAGTGTGTCTTAGTGTGTGGATGAGTGAACGGATGACAGGCATGTGATACAGTAACCAATGAAAAGGGGATGGGTCATTGTCGCCGTCAGGTCAGTAACCAGGGTTCACTCAGGCGCGATCGCTGTTAATCTGCTACAAGTTAATTTGCCTTTCCTTTCTTCCTGCCAAAGATCAAGCAGACCAAATCTCTCTTCTGTTTGTAAAAGTTATCTTGTCATGTTTTTTAAAACTTGATTCAAAAAATAACTAAATGAGTCAATCGTGAAGATGACTGCCATTTAGACCTAGTTGGCCTCCGGCCGCATTAACGCTAACCCTTTTCACCATTGAGAACCAGAAAAAATTTATTAATGATATCGAAGGTGGACAAAGCCTTCACACCAAGTATTTGTAGTGCAGGGATCACAAAGAAACCGTTACAAAACGATCAAGAAATACAGAAGCACTCAAGCCGTAATAGTGCCCTCAGATGCTTCACTTAAATGATCGATTTATGATAGCACTTCATAGAGTTGAATCGTGAGCAATTTATACGTGGGAATTTACATAACAATGCTCAGTGGTCCATTACGTCACCCACTCCGCACAAAAAAATCAATAATTTGATAACAGAAAAATGGTTGTGAGTTCGGTCGTTTTTTTTATATCTCAAATATCATATCAAAGACAAAAACCCCTAAAATAACAAGTTTATCAACAAAAGTGTTGTGGATAGCAACTTTTTAACAAAAGTTTTATGAGCAGATAGAGTTTAAGTAGCGATTGTGCACACTGTCGTTCGCGACAAAGTGCTCTTGTAGAACTGGGCTTGTCTAGAACCAGGTATCCAGGTAAGTGTGCCGGTAGCCGAAAAATTCACACAAAATCTCCTCTCACAAACGCGGAATTCTACTTAGCGTTGTGCTCAGCGACTGTCATATTTACTCACCTAGAAACGGTGCGTTCCAATTTAGGTCCCTCCTGTACACCGAGATTTCCAATTGGTTTTAGTTAAACATAAAGGGAAATTATAGAATTATTAGTAATTCGTGGGAAAAATTTGCAAAAATTTTGTTAGGTTGGGAGCGGCTGTTTGTCAAAAGAACAGTTAGCATAACACGTAACCGTCTACGATGTAGCCATACTGATCACACAATGTGTTAGCAAGCATAAGTCAGTTTGCAAATGGGCTCCAAAAATAAAACTCGGTTATTTTGTAAAATTTTCCACTTTTTTTACGATTCAGCATAGAGCACGCTGAAGATGTTTTGCGTTGGGCGTTTTCCATGGTCCAATGGCACCTTTAGGCAATGTTGCGCAATTTTTTTGAGTTTAACATTTACAGGGTTATGGCTTATCAGTAAGGTGACATTAGTAGTTCAGAGACAGGCGATATATCGTCTGTTCCCTGACTTTTAATCTGAGTTGTTTTAATCAAGTTTATGCAAAAATCGATATCATTTCAAATTTTTCGCAGAATCTTTTTATTCGTTTTGATAATAATCCCATCCTGCCTACCAATTACCAAAATGTCTATGAAATTTGTTATGAAATAAACATTCTACTTCGACATTACATCATTTCAAATCTTCCATTTACCAAATCAGAGAGTACAATTTAGGATTTTTGGTGAAACTAATAGTAAGATACAAGAAATATTTTTTCATAACAAAATATAACTCGTAGGCATTGCGTTTATGCATCTTCACATTGTGATGGATAGACGATCGCGTGTATTGTCAAAGGCGTGTTTATTGATGATGATGATGATGATGAATGCTCCCCGCGTGGACCCAGAAACTTCCAAGTAGATCTCGAAGTCACAACTACTGCTTTTATGCGTCTTCAGTCGAGTGCGTGCGCAGTTCATTGCGTCTTCAGTTGAGTGCGCGTGCTCTGATTTGCGTGCACTCAGCACCAGGTCTTCACCTCATTGGCTAGGCAAATAAGTGACTGGAGTATTACCATTGCGCAACGTCCTCGTGCCAAAATACGCGACTCCAAACGGCATCACACTGTGGCCTATACATCGGAAATAACTTTTTCTATTTCTGTCTCCGCGTGAGTTCACTTCTCCTATTCTCAATGCGCTAATTTTAAGTTGCTGTGATCTGTTGAGGTGCTTTATAGCTACTTGACCCCATGCCAGCATGCGTTTAACTGCCTGTTACAAAAATAGTTGAATTGCATGGTTCTGATATCATCTACATTACACATGTTGAACCTTGCGAAGGAATTTTTTGTGGTTAAAGCTGTCATACGCAAATGGCAATTTCTTTATTACCCTTAACGAAGTGACTACGGTGAATTCGGTCAAGGGCGCCCAAGTAGATGTCGCCTCGTGCAAAGCTAGACTGTTTCGCGTTAAAGGCGACTTTGCAAACCTGCGCAGGACAGCCACAAGTTCAACTGATGCTGGCTCAAACTAGGCACACGTTTATGTAAACACAGCTGCTTGAATGGCTGATTTCCTCACCAACCAGGCTTCGAAATCCCTGCTTCGTTATGGCTCGCCGTACGTCGCAACCACGCAGACTACATGCTGAAGGGTACATTAGTACCCGGCGAACCAATCTTGTCAGATTCAAGTGTGTGATGAGCACTTTGCCTTTCACCTTTACATGCGCATAGGTATTAGCAAGGTTTTTCCAGAAATTCAAGACCGTCTTTCTAAAACGCTAAAGGAAATTAGTTTGTGCCGAGCAGAGAGGGAACAAAAGCGGTTAATATGGGAGGAAGGACTAACATGTAAATAATTAAAACAAGAGATTAGCATTGTTGAATCTTCCAGACAATCACCGGTTTTTGAGAGATCGCAAGCCAAACCCATGCAACGTACGCAAATAAAAGCTGGCAATAAACAGTTCATACTAGCGTTAATTACACTCAAAGATTTACCAACATGCCAAATAAAGGATTATGAGACGCTGAGATGGAAATTGAACCGACACTTCCAGTGGGGTCGATTAAGCCGCGACAATATTTAAGGATTCTAAACGGAAATTCATGACCACAAACACTGGAGCCTTAGTTTCTATTATGGTCAAACGCTTAATTGACTTGATACACAGTCTGATACGGACGGTAATGACTTGTTCTGAACTTGCTAGTTTTTTTTAAAAATTGACCAGCAGAAATAAATGGTGCAATACAGGAGATCCTAGTTTTCAATCACACTGAGCCTACGTAATAACCAAACAGATCAATTTTCCCTGGGAAAAATGGCCACAGTTGCACAAAATGATACCGGAACAGTTGGAGATCGACAAAACCGACTATGCAACAGAATCCTGTGCTGGGGAAATTTAAGCCCTAAAAATGATGCAGCCGCAGTCACTTCCTGTGCATGCGTGCGTTTAGACAGATTGCATTAGTACCTTGTGTCTCAAAATTAAAATTTTAAGTTTTGGGGGAGTTGAACTTTCTTATTCCAATCAAAGTCTGATTTGGCACAATAAACAAAAAAAAACTGTCTGGAATAAAGTTGAAATTTAGTCGGCAAATTGCGGTGGAGAGTGTTTTCTAGAACCCTTACATATCAACCGTTTGACAATTTTTTCTGCCTACTTTTTTTCAAAAAATCTAGTGGTTACATGGAAGTAGAAAGAGATTCACCTAAATTTTCCGACAATATCACAAACAAAAGCTCTGTAACACGGCATGGCATGCAGTCCTCAGCATATTAAAAGGTCTGAGTTATCTTTCCAGGCTTTGTAATGTAAATAGCTCGCTTGTTCCAGGCTTTCATCTTATGGGTAAATTGTTAAAATATGACATAATTTACGACCCTCAATTCACTTTTCTGCGACTCGAACCAGTTATCTACACACAAAGATATACTTTTAGTTATTAACATGCGGACCATTTTTGATGAACTAGGGTTATTTCGTCACCTCTTTAGGTGTTCTTGGAAAAATTTGATAATTTGCACAACTCGTAAACCTAATTTAGTTTTCAACTGGGTCAGGGATTGGAAATGTTGGCCTCAAGATCTCTGTTAGACGCTTTGTCTGATGGACAGTAGCCTTAATTGTCTTCCAGCCATCGCAAACTTCTGTGATTTGATGGTCTTAAAGTAGAATACAGTACCCTTTATCAAATCTTTCCTAACATCTGGTGGTTTTGGGCGAGTGAGCGTATATCATGCTGCCCCATGCCTTCGGGGTACTTTGAGTTGAGCGCATTGACTCAATACGATTTCCAATTGCTGTTGCTGCCAAGTAATCATTATCGTCCTTGCAAAGGAACTCATTTTTGTTGTCTGGCCGCCCTTCTATCCACATCTTTCGCGGTCTTGAGGAGATCCATGGCCGTGACGATTATCCGCCTAGCTCGAATTTGCATCCTATACACTTACAAGTCTCTCAGTTGAACCCCCGTTACAAATCACGAATGGCTACTGAAAAATCCCACTGAACAAACTTGCTGCTGTGGCTTTTAGCAGTTTCTTATGAAACTCATCGACAGCGGAATTGGACTTTGCACATTAGAGAAATTGAAACGAATCAAAGAAATTAACTTACACATAAAGAATATCTTTACAACTGACAGTATGTTTTGATATTTATGTGTATCCCCTTATCATATAATAATTATTCGTGTTGGAGGGTCTTGAGATTTACCGAAATCGCGAATTCTAAAACAAATTTGATGATAAACTAGTGAGTCATCTACAATGTACATACATGGTGAGGTCTCATTTCATCGTTTTCAATGCTCATACTAATTTCTAATGAAATTTCCTCAGTCGACATTTTTACCTGCACACTTTTAAATCTGGGGTGATGACAAGGTCTTCTTCACGCAAACCCGTCTGCTAGAGAAAACGCCCAGTGCATGCCAGGGTTCACGCGCACACATCGCCTTTCCCATTTGCGTGATGTCAAAAAACACGCTAATCATATCTGACGAGGGGTGATGTCAAATTAATGTCAATACGCACGGCACGACGTGAAGACCAAGAGGTGAGATTCGCTCCCACTAGTCTGTCAATCATGGAATCCACTTTATCTTATTGAGGTGCCATGTAACTTCTTTCCTGACTGATTAAATCCCTCTCCACTGTGTTCCACGCAATTTCTGTCAGGAAGCACGCTTTCCGGCTCCCTAAGATGGTGTGTATTTAATCAGCGCATAGACCACACGACCACATCCGCCGAGAACTTAAAGAGTAGTTGCAAGCAAATCTGATAAAGCGTCAACTAGTTGTGGAAGGAAGCTGAGGTCAACCCTACAAATGTTCGTGGAAAAATAGTCAGTCACGCTTTCTCAAAAGGAGGTTGCGTAATTGAAAAAAAAACCGTTTTAGACCTCGTGCGTGTCGGATTCGATGTGCGTATTAGTGCGACGCCGTAAGGCCATAAAGGGCTGGCTACACGAACTCATGGAATTTGCGCATTCGATGCAACGTGAATGTGCAAAGTTGGAACGGAGAGTTCCCTTCGAATGTGTAAGACGATGGCCCAAACATGAAAAGAACCCCACCTGCTTGGGGAATGTTCGCAAACAGACGTGGCCAATCTGACCTCCTCCGTCTAGACTGACTTAGTTTAACCATGTCCCACGTGTCAATGAGTAGTTTGGCTTTGGATCGAATTTTAATTTTACGAAAATCACACTGATTCATCGTCAAATGCATAGGTGTAACTCAACCGTTCTGCACGATGACTGGCAGTATCAGCTGCAAACGAACAGAGTTAGTGGTTATAATCAAAATGGTTGGAGACCCAGTGGAAATATTCGCGAATCGAAATACCCCCACAGGCCAGTTTAGAGGCCCTAAGTTGCAAAAATTTGTAAGTGAGGACGTTCTGTGCAAGAAACTTTACTATCAGCACCCATCTTTTGGCAAAAACTGAGGTTGAGCCAATAATTTCCTGTTCTGCAGTTTTTTACACCAAGGACTCGATTCATTCAAATGTAAATAATTTCTCAAGTTTGAGTAGATCTCACAAATCGCAAATCAATTTTCCGTTGGTGATAATCCCTGATATGTTCCACAAGGCTTGAATTTAATTAGAATGCTTAAAATAAGAAAGAATTTCGAGTAAATGAGTGATTGAAGAAAACTAACAACCAAAAAACCTCCTTCCAAGACACCAAGTTCAGTTTTGCGACTCAAAATAGAAGTTAATTCTGCCTTATTAATTGAGAACCTTAGTCAACTAGTCATTGTATCTTGGCAGGAGTGGTTTTACACACTTTTCTGACATCTTCATGATTCAAATCTCGTAGAAGTTGTTGTCATTAGTACCAACAAATCAGAGAAAGTTACGCCCATTAAAACAATTTTGCAATTTTGGTCAGAACTTTATCAAGGATTCAACTCCAACTTTCAACAAAGTTCCATTAAATTCGCACGAGTTACCGGATATGTGTGGGAGGCCTTGCGTCGTTATTCCCTGATTGCCGCCTCTTGTCCCATTATGCGTTGACAACAAAAGACTAAATTGGTCGTAGTTTAAGATGCACTCAATCGTTACAGTCCCATTAAATTACCCAAAATCAGTTACAATTGATACCATCCATATCGATAATGACTTATTTAAAAAGGATGATTTTACTGCGTTTACGAAGCATATGCAAAAACAAGCACTTGAAGGATCAGAATCTACTACAGTGGCTGAAATGCGTCCAATTGAAGAGTTGTTATGCGTTCAGTGAACTGCAGAAAATTTGTTACTGACGAACCACCCGAAATTACTTAGCACACATAACCAAAGTGGTCCTTCTTTTGCGTTCGATGTCCACCCGTAATCTCAAGAGAGATCTGATTACCGGACAAACCGTGGCCTTGCGTGCGGTGGGCAGATATCGTGTTCATGTGCATCTCAAGTCTTGATGGAGTAAAATTTAGGATTTCACTATCCATGATCAGACAAAATTCCTTTCGGCTTTGTCACTGTTGTGTCCGTACGGGAGCTAGGTCCACACTTTCACCCTGCCAAAGATAGCATAACTATTAAATTTAAAGGAATATCTTTAGGGGCTTTTCGAAGAATGATGTGGACAGCCAACATATGCGATAGTTCCCACTATCGCCGACTCTAGTTTAAACAATCTGTTCAAGTAAGATGAAGCCGTGGAAAAATGAAATCAAAGATTTACGCAACAATTACAGAAAAGTAGTCTTTTTGTGGCCATCTGCATTCATGTCCATCGGAATAAATGTTGCGAAGACTTTGTGTCCAGTCAGAGTGAAGGAAGGCTACACTGAATGCTGGATAAACATTGATAAGAAAGGAAGATGTAATAACTAGTTAGGAGTTATGAACGAACCTGTTGCTAAGACATATTATTAAGTTTAAAACCGGAACACGTTTGGAGAACTACGAAGTCTAATTTGGATACCCTGCAGGTACACCGGACACCTTCGTCACGCCTGAGTGCACCAATGACAGCGGTCCTTCAGGCGGTCAAATCAGGAACTTCCGAGGACGTAGCAAAGCTCATTCACAACGGTGAGTTGGTGAACAAGGCGGACGTCAACGGCTTCACAGCACTCCACTCAGCATGCCAGAGGTGCAAACTCAACGAACTCAACCTCCTGCTTGAATACAACGCCAATGTCAACCACCCCACAAAGGCAGGTCTCCATGTCTCACGTGTCCGCCTTTTGGTTTCAGTTGATTTGCTCAAGTGAAGGAGCAAACTAAATGTAAACATTTAGGGAAGAAAGGGTCTGAACAGAACCGAAGTCTACTCTATTAGATCATTCCAAGTTAAGGTGTCTACAGGTATACGGATCTTTCCCTAGTGAGTGGCTTGGAAACCATTTTCCCTGGAAGCTCAAAATTGGTCTCCTAGAAAAAATGAAGTTATACGTCGTGCTTGGCACTTGATGTCCGAAATCTTTCTGATTCTGTCGACTGATTTTGGAGACCTTGAAAAACACAAATCCCGTTTGCAAATTTCAGGCTATAGTGGCATTTTTGGAGGTTGAATTTAGGTCCCTGCAAGCAGCTGTCTGAAAAACTGCAAAAAAACTCTCAACACACAAATTAATTGACTCGTGGCTTAAGCTGTCTCGCGATTAATGAGGCTTTAACGGAATTTATCTTGTTTTCAATTGTACTGAACATTGACCTATGATATTAACAACCTTGTAGCACATCGAGCCACTGTTGTGATCATGTGGGTTAAATGATTACTGTTGTGATAGGCGGAACCCAAATTCTGTTCTCTCATCCCTGCATTGTTTGCCTGCAGCTGGAACAGGCGAGTCCGTTGCATTTGGCAGCCAAATCAGGCTTTGTGGAGGGCGTGATCCGACTGCTGGAGTGCTACGCAAACCTCGAGGCGGTCGACAAGGACGGCTTCACTCCACTCCTCGTTGGCTGCAGGGAGGCCAAAGCCAAGGTCGTCCAGGTCCTCATTGAGGCAGGCGCCAATGTGAACCACATCTCATTTGTGAGTACAAATTCCGGTTTGCGAAAGTGTCTCAGTAGACACCAAGCATAAAATTGCCTTAATTTTAAGTTGGTGTGAAAGCACCCAAGAGGGACGCGCTTTTTTAAATAAATTTCTTTTCGTTTGGCTGTAAAGCAAGGCATACGCGACTGGAGAACTAGTGCCGAAACCTCTGGTAAGTCCACACCCCACCATCATATTGAAGAGGCAGGAACAAGACCCCCTTGCGGAGAGCTTCCACAATCTGAGCCAAGGGACTGAGCGACACATGTGTGATTTACCCAACCACAAACACTTTTGACGACCTTGACAGAAAGGGCAGTTGATAGCACACTCAAAATGAGGATTTGAATGTGGGCTGGGGCACATGACGGGTTCGAATCAGGAGTTACTGAATTGCATATTTCTTGTTTCTACAACGTAAAGGTAGCTTAAATTTCTCAGTTGATAGCACAGCCCCTTTTCGTCTCCAACAACAGCTACATTTGAAGAACAAAAATGTGTAGTTTTGGCACTAATAAGAGGCCAGTATTTATGAACTAAATGATTCATTAGTTAAGGAAATCTGAGTAAGGTTTTGTGCTTCGCTGTGTTGCCTGTCTGCCGAGGATTTTATGCACACATGAACTCAACTTTTGCCTGTTTCAAATGAGGGACCTATTTACTTATTGTGGTAGTAAGAAAAATTGGTGCCGAGGTCGTAGTTCGATGCATTGTCATAGTCAAAGGCACATTTGCGTAACAGAAAGGATCGGATTGGTTAAAAGGGCCAGACTTTCATAAGCGGGTCAATTTTGACTGGTGGTTACGACAGCATGAATCAGTGCTGCAGTGGCCTCCAGCGCTCAAGTGGACTTCTGATGAATGCGGTTTTCGTTGCTGTAGGAGGGCTACACAGCACTCGATGCTGCCATTTCCAACGGAATGGATTCTTCAGTGGACCTACTGCTGCGCGCAGGTGCTCGAGTTAACATGGCGGGCAAGGGCGGCAAAACAGCCTCCCACTACGCCGCAGACTTCGGCCGTTGCAATGCTCTCCGACGAATGGCGCTTGAAGGCGCTGATTTCAACATTCGAAGCTGGGTGAGCTCAAGAGCCTGTTTGAAAAACACTTGCAGAGGTGTCTGTTTTTTTTTAAAAATAAAATTAGACCTTTGCCTTCTTCAGCGTGGTTGTAGTCCCCTCCACTATGCTGCACTGCGTGGCAATGTTGAGAGCGCTGGGGTTTTGGTGGAAGGAGGCGCAGACGTCGACCTGGAGGACTGCAACGGCGCCACACCGATCATCAATGCTTGTCGTGCCAACCAGGTTGACATGGTCACGTTTCTTCTCGAACAAAACGCTGACCCTAATCGACAAACAAAGGTATAATGTTTTCCTGGGTACTCATGCAGTAGATCTAATTTGGTGGTGTGTGTGGAAAACACAGTGTTGCGAGATTGAAAACCAAGTTACCGCCCAGCAGCACGTTAGCCTAGTAAAACACTAAAAGGAGGGAGATGAACGATCCATAATCGTGAAGTTGATCAGAGCAATTTCGTGCAAAACGTTACAGGTACTAGCAGCCATTGTGAAATCGAATGCCTCGAGTCATCAGCCTACAGTTTCCCGTAGCCTTTAGTAGTCCAAAAGCTCACCGCTTTCTTAAGACTACGATCACAATTAATATCCACGACTGAATAACCAAGCTGACTCACGAGAGGATCATGCCCAGGCATTAAATCAGAGATGAATAGGCGACCACATACATGACTCAGGCATGCGTGGGAATGCATCAAGCACGCATATGCAACATCGCGTACGAATCCAACACAAATGGTCACATTTCAATAATCCGCAATTTTTTCACCAGAGAAGACGCATGTGGGTTAGTACACCTGAGAAATTTGGCCTGGAAGCAGAAAATAGTCTCCACCAGAGGGTTTTCTGAACCCGCAACGATCCAGACACGGGAGCGTTCGAAACTGATGTAAATGCAACCTGTCACGTCACTTGGATGAAATATATCCAAAATACCTCGTCCCGATTCGGCGGCTGCAAACTCGTTGCTGGCTAAGATTTATTTCAGTCTCTGTGGAATTTTCCTAAAGTAACGTGAAAACACATTGCTAGATGTCATCGGTTAAATCGAATCCACACAACATCCGTTTTAAATGGGTCCAAGGTGGAATTTTTTGGCCACAGTACAAATTCCTGATGTCTCTTGCCTCACTCCATTTGAAATTATGGGTGCCTTTTCCTTAATAACTACTCAGGTTGCTCACAGGGATTCAGATGAATGTAAATTTGCCTCATACATCCAGCGGTGCCGTTTAAGAAACGAAATGTAGGATATGCCTTGCAAATCCGTAGTACCAGTAAACATATACAACCACGTCACAATGCCTCTTTTGCTTGGTAGTCAATTTTTGTGCTGACTGGAGTTGAAATTTCAGAAATAAAAAGCTTAATTAATTACGTATTTGGGTTCCACATTGTGCAAAGTAATCTTGGACCAAACAGGAGACTACCATATTCACGTCAATTAAACTCAGGTAAGTTCGTTGGAAAATTCAAGTGGTCGATTGCCCTCAAAATCTGCTTCCGTCTCGAAGCTATTAAAATGATGAATGGCTTTAATCTTATTGTGAACACCTGGAATAACTCTAAACCTGTGCTTTCATCAAACGCAAATTCTTAAATCATTATGACTTACCTGAGAAAGTTATTGCTGTGGGAACCGATTCATTTCCCATGGGCTTGGAAAGTTCTCAATTAAGACACATCCTTTGGTGTCTTGTAGTTAACCGTGTGCAGTACGTTCTGTATCAAGAGGAATAAGAAGGGTCAAGTAAATTCGACACTGTCTTGATTGGTGTAAGTTTGTCTGTGGAAATGGATCATGTCAGACCGTAGCATCGATGCTCTGCGGAAGATGCTAAGAAATAATAGTAACAGTGTAAGCGTTGGATTGAAAAGAAAGGGTACTATTTTTAAAAAACCTAAACAAAAATGTGTCTTATGGATGCAATAAACTTCGCCTTTTTCGCATTCCGAAGCAAGGCGAATCGGCTCTTTTGATCGCTACGAGGCAGAACTCATTCAAAATGGTACAACTCCTGCTCAGCAATGGAGCGAATCCGCGCTTGGCCAACAACGCCGGCACAACACCATTGCACGTTGCCAGCAAACAAGGCTCAGACGAGATTTGCGCGCTCCTCTTGAACCACGGCGCGGATCGCTATGCTCGCGACTTGGTGAGCTTTTCAATGGGCTTTGTGGCTCACTCGGTTGTGCCTGCAGCTCACTTCTAACGTGTTGCATTTAAAGGGGGTGTGAGACTTATTAGTGGAGAATTGGCAAAAGAAGTTTGCACAAACAGGCTTCGTACCTGTGGCTCCCAGTGACAACTAACAAGTACTTTATAAGCACGTCCACATTCGCATCAAAATGACACTTTGTGTCTTCCCGTAATCCATGAATAACTTGAGGGTTTCTTCTGAGTGTGGTATCCCTCTTCAGCTCTTGTTGCTGGGTACTTTGGGTATAATCAAAGATTTGAATTGTAATGCATCTAATCGTGACTACAGAGTACTGGAACCTAAGTAGAAGATAAGCCCATATTTGGAAGATTTTAGAGCCTGTGAACGAAAAGACATTTTTGTAAAAGTTGTAGGGTGAAGAAAGCCTATACCCGATACGGGGTTAAGCTGTTTTTGGCGAGAGTCAAAAGCCAAGTCATTTACGATTTCATGATCTTTATTTCAGCATCATTTTAAGTTGATTGGCCTCGATGAAGGCAAGTTTGATGCCTCCCAAAATTTTCAAGTTAAATCAATTGGCTTAGTGAATTTTGACAAACTAACCCAGATTATCCCCTAAAATCACTTTTTTGTTGCCTTATTGAAACACTCTGTCAAATTTTAGATAAATATTTGTGGGTTTGGAAATCACAACGTAAGTAAAACCTAGTTATTTTTAAGAAAAAATTAGTCCAACATCGTTGAATTGGGCAGGTTTTCTCTCTCGGTATATTTTACTACAGCATTTTATTTATTTTTCTCAAATGCCGGTTTAAAAATCAGAGAATTCAAAGAAATCTGTCCTTTAATGACGATTTTAGCAAAATCAGACACCCCGTGACCTAAATATGATGGCCGGACAAGGTCGTTATTTAGCGCTCTCTCCCTCTTCCTGTCGTTCGCCAACCCCAAGCTGCCTGTCACCACGGAGTTGCGTTTCCCCTAAGACGCCGGCGGAAACGTCGGAGCACGTGCGGTACCTGCGATCGCAGTCGATTTCTTCCCTGCGCAACCAGGCCTCGTTGATTGCCTCGATGCGTGATAGTCGGTCGCGCGCCACGCAATCGCAGCGCGCCAACATCAACCATTCCGCGCCGCGTGCCTTCACCGCGGACCTCCTCAATGGCCGCACGCGTGTGAAGAAGCGACCTAACATCCTGACACGATTCAACGTCAACAGTGAATCATCCAGCACGACAACCTCGCCGTCGAACCTGGTGAATGGGGTGGCTGCCGAGGAGCCGCAGGATGCGCGGACAGATGAGCCTCCAGCACCTCCGAAGTACATAAGAGAGATCAAATCGAAGGCGGGAGTCATTATCTGCTACGAACCTGGGTCTATCCGTGAAAGCCATCCCCATGTAAGCCGTTTAAAAAAGAAAATTTTGGTGGACCACAAGGGGATTTTCACGAGTAATTGTTTGGTTGCTTAAGGAAAACCCAGATGCTCTGTCGGCGGTACAGAATGGGGATGTGGAGAAGGCAATTCAGGCACTACGGTGGGGAGCAGATGTTGAAGCACGTGATTTGCAAGGAAACACACTCCTGTTGATTGCTGCTGACGCCGGAAACTTAGAGATGGTTACTAGTCTTATTAGATATCGCGCAGATGTGAAGGCGAAGGACTCAGAAGTAAGTGGACCTCGACTTAGTAATGACAAGGCAGTCAACGCGGTTGTGAGTAATCGGTCACGCTTGTTTAGCTCCTCGATTCACCACTCCACCGCGCAGCCAGAGGAGGCTTCCACAAGATTGTGGAGGTCCTTCTCAACAACGGAGCCGACCCAAACTCTCGTAATTACGACAAAGAGACCCCACTGCACAAGGCTATTCGGATTGACGGAGAACAGTGCGTCAAGCTGTTAATAGCTGCTAAGGCCGACGTCAATGCCCAGGACGAGGTAGGTTTGATGACCCTGGTCTTTGCAAATCAGCAAGAAATGTGCTAACTTTTTGCGTGGAATTTTCACTTCCTCCCAGTATGGGACCACGCCTCTGGCCCTCGCCGCTTCGAAGGGGAATCTCTATGCCCTAAAACTCCTTCTTCACCATGGAGCGGATCCGAATCTTGCAGATCATCGCGGCACAAGTCCATTCATATGCGCCTTCGAAGCGAAGCGGTACGACGTAATTCCCGCCCTGGCGGTTGCTGGAGCATACGTGGATGAAACCAGTCTGGTAAGATGAGGAAAAACAACCTTTGGTCGTGAGACGTCGTGATCTAACCCTGAAAACAGGCGAAAATGACATTGTCAAATACGTCTGTGCACTCAATTGAGGCCTTTTCAAAACATGTCAGAATTGGCATCGTTCCCCAACGGATACCAAAGTTGTTTTAAATACATGTTTTGTTGATGGCCAAAGTTAATAATCATTCCTCTCTATGAAGACAAATTATGTTAACTCATTCGAAAACGCTGGCAGTTCGAGGACGAACAGACGTATACCTGGCTTATATATCACCAGAAATACAGTGGATATTTCGGTCTCATAAATATTAAGACGCAGATTAAAATATCCCTGTTGTCTTCAGTGCTTCAGCACCAAAGAGTTGAAGTGATCAGTCACTTTCTGGGATGAATGCAGCCCACAAATCCAAATGTGCGTCAACTTCAAAGTTCTGGACACTCGGCGTGGCTTATTTGTTTCCAAAATGACTAATTGTTACTCTGTAGAAGAATAAGGGCCTCAGTAACAGCAGAGAATGTGGATTTTGTGCGCATTATAGTTTTAGGAGCCCAAAAACTACAAACCAGAGTACTTTAGGTTCTTATTCTCTAATCTGAGAAGAGAAACCTTTCGTAGGTTGTGTATCTGAACCGCTTCCTAAAATGATATTAAGAATCTAGGAAATTATTTTCAGCTGAAGTAGAAGGGGGCCAAGCGCGTCAGCATAACCATGTTGATCTTCGTCCCCTTTCCTTGTTTAGCGCGGTCGTACCGTCCTCCACGAGGCAGCTGCGAGCGGCGACGACGCCATGGTGAAGGTCCTCATCGAGGTCGGCTCGCCGGTGAGTGTCACCGACGATCGCGGCAACACGCCACTGCATTTGGCCTGCAAGCACGGCCAGTACAATGCAGCCGAACTCCTCATAGAAGCCGACGCACCGCTTCATTGCAGAAACATGGTATGTTCCCACCCGCATTTGCCAAATGCCGCGAGCACTCTCTACTTACTGCTGGACCTCTTTGTGAGCCTAGGCCGGTGAGACGGCGAAGGACCTCGCCGAGGAATCGGGCAACGCTGCCCTGACGGTCCTGCTGCAGGCAATGATGGAATCCGACGACAGCGCCGCCTAAGCTCCCCGGATCAGCATTTTTTTTGTACAGATCGGTCTCCACGTGTGGAGGACGCTGGTTTTGACGACGCCTCTTTCAAAACGGGAATGTCAGTGAAATTAATCAAATTGATTCTGTACAGCTATGTCTTAATTTGTGTCGTAGAAATATTAAAAGACGGAAGACATGAAAAAAAAAATACAAAGCATTTGAACCTGTACTGAAATCAGATTTTCTCTGGGAACCACGGAAATTTCCTGGTGGTAGTTGTAGTTGAAGTGAAAATCATTATTTGTTTTTCTACAGATTACTTTGATTCAGATTTTCTTGGAGAACAGAAATTCTATTGGCCTGCAGGATAAAAACAACCGCATCAAAAAAAGAACGAGTTTCAATCTAAGACATTTATTTAGTAGATTCAAGACCCGAAATAACCGACAAAATGAATCAGATCCGTCAGCTGATAGGGTAGATTACGAAGTGTGAATTGAACCATGCCACGGAAGCGTCGTTTGAGGAATGAGAAGTGACGATGTTTGTGCGCGCACTGAAATTGCTGTAATCGCATTGTGTTTGTGAAAAAAAGGCCATTGAAAAAGAGCAGCATAGAAAGGAAATCTGAGCAAATAAATGCGCATTTAACAATTAGGAGGAACTAGTCCATCTGCACGACTAATTAAATAAGGTCCGGCTGCGTGAAATGAGTCGCAGTTTTACTTGAGGGTGTTTGTCAGATGGCTGAGGCCAGATCTATATTTTTCAATCGTGTTGTGGGTTCATTTTCTTCTCAGACACAAGCGTCAGTACAGAAACCGATTTGACGCTAGGGCGTTATATGTAAATTGGCGCCATTGGCTGATGCCACAGAAGGAACAGTAGTTCGTGAAGGTGGGTTCCCTGTTGTTTTCTAAACTAAAATATTCTTTCAAATGTCGCGGGGTGTTAGGGAAATAAGTGCGATCTAGGCACTTGTACACACACACACGCACGATGTACGGACATATGAATACCTAAAGAGAATCTTTGTATACATGGGAATGGTAGGACGGATCCATGAAAATTGTGGTGCATGTTAAAATTTAGTGGCTACTTGTATGTCAAGAGATCATAGTGTCACTTGGGTTGCACTAAGAGTATCCAGAGTATTCGCCCGCCCTAGATGGCCGATCGCTTTTCTTCAGTGAGACACCCTTATGTTGGAACAAGAACCTATCCGTCTTCCCGAGGTTTCAGAGAAGCCAAAAACTCTGGAAGATTCAATGGTATATTTACATCCACGTTTGGGTTGTGTCCAATCGATGGTGTAAAATACCCGAGTCCTAGGATGAAGAAGACTGGTGCAAAAGATAAGACCTTATTGACCAATCACAAGCCAGACTCCCATGGTATGAGCAAGAAGAGAGCAAGACAATATAGAGTTCTTTGGTGGAGACTACAATCAGTCCCAATCAGGGGAAAACAAGGTCTTTATATAGCCTTATCCTGGTCGTTCTTTACTTCCGTTGATCCGTTCCTCGGAGCTGTAATGGAGACGGAAAACTCGTGAGTGGATTGGCTCTCAGTCCCCGGCGCGTCATTTAATGCCCTCATGACGCCACACAACCGGAAGTCAAGCACCCGGTCACATGACGTCGCCACCATGCCTTGCTGTTTACCTTCTACCAGTGACTGAGCACCAAGATGGCGACTCTCTGCCATTCCGCTACACTACAATGGCTGATCGCTGTTGTGCAGTGGGGCCTCGTTTTTCCGGAGCAAAAACTTATTCGCTTTCCTGCAGTTTGAGAGAAGCCAGCAGATCTAGAAGATTCAGTAGTGTGTTTACACTCTTGTCTGGACTGTGTTCAGTCGACTGCCAATCTGTCGTTGAAGATTATTAGTCGTTGGTCACGTCAAAGCCCCAGTTTGTTGGTCCACGCAACGACGCTTGGTACGTAGTCGTCAGCTAAAGCTAGCCATTTTTAATGAAACAAACCAAAAGTGATGAGCCTTAAATCACTCTTCAAACTAACCTCACCTCTCCCTCTCTGTTAGTGGACGAAGTACAAATACGTGAAATTGTGGACCAAATGTATCGAAAAATTACAAACACTAGGATAGCAGCAGCATCATAGGAGAAAAAATACAAAAGTTTTTATTGTTGGTTGCAAAGAGTTTTAAATAGAAATTATGTAGAAAGCAAACCGACGCCAACACAAAAGTTAGTGATTTATGAAGAATTCCACCTCATTTTGCCATCACTTTTGTCAGATATTTCGCCGTCGTAATCGTAAAGAAGGCTTGACATATTCCAGCATGCTTTGGGTTATGCATGAACCTTCTCGCATGATAGCTAGGGTGATGCTAGGACTAAACAGTTGGAAGGAATTCGAAACTCCGCGAATAATTTCTATTGGTCGCTAGGATCCTCAATTCCGACCTCATTTGCGTGAAAGATTATCCTCACGCCTAGGTCTTGATGTTAGCACATCTGTGACTCATATATCCGAACTATAAATACACATGACTACAATTCCTAATTGAACATCGTCGAATACACAAAAATACTGCAAACGACGAATAAATACGTCGACTTCACGCGTGGTGAATCTGTTCCCCTTTATTTTACTATGTAAACTTGAAGCTGCGGACGTCGGTAATATCATTTCTCTTCCATGAATAACATGTTAATCATGACATTGCAGGGACATTTCCGACTAGAAAAGTATTCAACTTATTATCTACAACTAAGTAATTAAAGCAAAAAAATCAACCACAAATTATGCCGTCATATCTGATACCGCAATTTCGGCGCAACTCTGAGGTCAGTTAACACTTAGACTGCCTTCCATGAAAGAAATAAATAAACATGAAGATAGGTTTTAATTTAAGCAGTTTCAATTTGCATACTTACCCACGACAAAAGATAAAAACGCAAGTGTTTTAGTTGAATATATCCACGAATAATTATTATCTATGGAATAGAAAACTTTCTGATATTGATGAGCAATTTTAGAATAAAGACTAAGCTAGAGCCATTGTATTTCTAAATTGACCGCAAGTTTTAGCTTTGTCTACCTATGTACATGGATTGTTTTTCTCTAGGGTTTTGAAAATATAAGAAATGGTCAAATGCTTTTACAAAATTGCGTAACAATGTTCGATTTGCAGATTTATGTTTAAAAACAGAACAGGCAAATGGTTTAATTATCAGTTGGGTTTTTGTTGTCGACTAGCCGAGCACTTTTCATTAGGCTTGCTATTGAGGTGAATTAAAGTCAAAGTGAACGATTTTGAGCAACAATTTCCAAAAGTAAGCAAAACATGCCTCAAATGTCGACCCGTGTTTTCTTATCAAAATCTGAAACACACAGAAAAATTCTTCGAATAAGTCCTTGGGAATCCAAAATGACAGAAACCAAAGTCTGAAACCAACTTCTGCATCCTAAGAAAAATATTTTTTATTTTTGTCATTATTTGCCTTGGCAAATATAAACCATCAATTTTTCACTTAACCTGTGTCAGGACTGGTTGCATGCTTGGTTATGCACAGATTATTGCGGCTAGTTTTGTCCTGTTCAATTAATCAAATCTAATAAATTGTCACATTTGAATAATCACAATGAATGCAAATTCTAAAAAAAGTTTAGGTCAAGATATCGACCACTATAATACCAAAGTAATTTAAAAAGACTGTACATTATGTTTTTTTCTCAAAGGAAATATTATATTAGAGAATTGTTTCACTTGGCTGTTTCCTTTTTTGGGTGTTTAAATACATGAACAACGCGAGTGTCACCCCAACGTATCATTTTTGGATGGTTTTGGCGATGGGGTTTCCTTGTCTATCCGTGGTTCTCATAAGTTTAATCAGTTCAGGAGTCTCTTCGTTAACTTGGAATGTAACTTCAAATGTTACAATAGTGTATGTTTTTTTAGATTGATGTCAAAACAAATCCGGCATGCACACCTCAATGTGAAGACCAGTTTCCAAACTTGGTGCATGTTGCCGCCCGAAATGATCTTTATTCCATGCACTTTTTCACGGCTGCCTCAGGCATTCTGGGACCTCCATCTATTTTTATTGTTAAGAGCCCGAAGTCGGATGCAAATGTATACGTGAATTGGACGAGGCTACTTGATAGGCATATGTACGGTGGCATAAAAGTCGAGCCGTCTGACGAAATTTACGGCTTGACGTACTTATCTGTGAGGTTTAGTTGTGCTTAACTTGTTTGTCAAATATCTTAGTTAGATTATTATCATCTAGTAATATTCTGTTTTTTTTTCCTGTAGGTTGTGGTTTTTAGCGACCCTGACGGCTACTCGGACCTCTGGACTGCTAGCAAAAGCAACAAAACATACCAAGAATATTACTTGTCACAACTAGAATACTCCCTTGTTCGTGCTGATCCGGTTCCGGATCCCAGCACAGGACTCATACACCTGGTTTATCGCTCTGACCCTCGTCGACGCCACAAACTCCTTTCTAATGGAGGATTAATAGAAGTCAAGGCAAGGACATTTCACAAACTTATCTCAATGTGAGGCATACATGATTTGACACGACCCTAAGTTAACTGGGAGCCTCTTATTCGGTCTCCAAATACATTTTAATGTTCTCTACCCATCAAGTCTAAAGCATTTCCCCTCCACTGTTCTCGCTAATAATAAACAATTTTGGTAATCACAAACCCAGAATTTGTTTCTGGATATTCCCCTAATTTTGCGTTCAGATAGTGTGCGTTTAACGTCGTGATAGTTGCTTTGCCCTCAGATACACATATACAAAGGTCCGTTGATAAGCATCTTTTCGACAAAATTCTAATAACGGCTGTTACGTGCTTGCGCACAGTTTTAAACGACGATATGAGCCCCCCACTTTTAAATATTCACGAATATATGTTGTGAATATTTGTAACTCAATATGCTTTTTGTGTTGACCTCTAATGGCACACAAAAATTCTCATGTTAATTTGTTTTGTCTGTTTGTGTCTTTAGGTTACAATTTCATGCAAAGACACGCTTCAAGATCTAAAAGCCGGTATTGCCTTCAAAAGTGAGATTTCTTTCCACAATTTGACCATCCCCCATCCCACATCGAAACTTGGGGTTGGCGTCGTACTCTTTTCGAATCTTAGTCTTACCCCCAGTGGTGATTTCCAAGATGCAAAGTCAATCATATCCCTTCCAGGCAAACCAAACGTGCCCTACCAAGTAGGTCTGGCGGCATTTTGTCTTGAATTAAGCTTTGTTCAATGTGGTGTGTGATCACCGGAAAAGGAACTTGATCTTGATTCGTTGCAAGTAAACAGTTAAACTGATTTGAGTATTTTTGTGCATTGACCTTGCTTCTTATTGTGGCTGCGGTACCATATAATTGCATTTTGTCTCCAATATAATAGCTATAGGATGTGGATTACCAAAGGTTTGTACAAAAAAACTTGATAATTGGCACTTAGGTAAGAAAATCTCTTACAATTTACTGAACATTCTTTACAACTGGCTTAATATTTGGGCTTTTAGACAGAAATTACTCAAAGTTGTAAATGCAATGCACACCTATCGAGTCTCAGATTTTTATCATTCGAAGTTTTACACTTCCTCCCTCGCTACCTTGGCATAACGCTCCAACCCTCGATGGTTTTTGAACAATATTCACAGGGATTACATTCCTTCAAACTCTAGCAACTTGCGTAATGAACCTATACATGGCCATGGAGTTATATTGTGATGAGGAAAAAGAGGATTACCCATCATTGTATTATGTCCCCACATCTTGTTTCGCATAACTCTAATTTTCAGATTTCTTCTGCGCGTCTGGAATCGGAGGAAGAGGGCTTACCGCTACATTCGATGCCCCACGAAATCCTTCTCAAAAGCCCTTCCGATCGCCGCAGGGCTCTCACTCCCGTCCTATTTCGCCCCAGCCCAGTGGGCAACCTGGGAGGCGAGGGCAAGGTGGTCCCCGTAACCGTGCTCGCGGGACCTCGCTACCCACTGCGAGGGAGCAATCAGCGCCGACGGTTAACTCGGTCGATTGGCAAGGCTCTTTACGGGGAGGAGTTTGAACAGAACTTCCAAAAGACTAAAAAAGGCCCCCTGAAAAAGTATCCGGTTGGCATGCGGTTGCAGCACTTTGCTTTTTCTGCCCGAGGTCAGCAGGCCGCTGCGCATATCTCATGGTGAGCTCTTTGTTAGTGTGTCCGAAGACACGTGAATTTGGCATCTTCCCTAATTGGAGATGGAACGTCCTAGTGCTCACAGAACTAAAAACGATCGTTTTCGCATCGATTTTCATGAATTCCATGTATTCACGAACAGGCCCGACTAACGGGCATCCAAAATCTGGCTTGGAAGGAACCAGAGGCTTTTTCCCGCTAAATCTACCAGCACGATGCAGCAGTATTCAGTTTATTTGAAAGAGGGCATTGACGTTATTTTGTAAAAGTGATGGTTATTTACAACGACTTCTAACTTTGTAGGC